AGAGAAAGAGAGGGAGAGACGCAACGCAGCATCTGCCTGGAATGCATTCGGCGCTGATAGCTTTGTCGGCTTCCCGCATCCACACGCTCCTACGCGCTCTGAGCCGCTTAAGAAGCCTTCCTCCACTTCACAAAGCAGTCCCCCCGTTGTAAAATCTCGTAATTCCGAAACGCGCGCCGTGCTTTACCGAGAGCTGAAAGATGGACGATCCCCTCGACACTTGATGCCGTGGAAAAATGTTTCTTTCACGAATTTACGCAAGGACATGTCGGAAGTAACATTCCCAATTTTCGCTATAGGGATGACAGTATTCTTGTACTATTTTATTTGCCCTTAATAATAAGTTAGGTCCGCTTTAAATCGGTCTGTAATTCGCGATTCGAGATAGAATTTTGGAATTTATTATTGATATTTATTATTGATATTGTAATTTCTCATGTGTCGTTAGGAAATGCATATAAAATCATAAATGAAATTTTATCGAATTATAGATTGTTTATGGCGATAATATATTCTATTTTATTATAACTATAATAGTGTGATATTAAAAGGTTTTCTCAGGGTTTTTTTCTCTTTTTATTAAATACCAATATTATCGAATATTAATATAAATTATTTTATAATCAGAATCATTAAACATATTAACGAATGTGCGTTTTCTCTGACGATCCAAATATCAAAAACACGAAGCCCCTTTAATTTTTTTTACCTTTATTTTATTTCGCGCATGTAGTATTCTTCACTTATTTACATTTTTACGTTTCATTTTTAAAAGAAGTTTCCTCGCCGACTATTGTCGAACAAGCCGACCATGTGTGGGCAGTAGCCGATATTTTTTCCCGATCGGCTCGTTGGCCTGCGGATTAGCTAATGCGCCGCAAGCGAACCGCGAAAGCTCTCCCTGTTTTTTTTTTGCGGCGCGAGAATCGCAGCGCGAAGCTCCTGATTTTTTTTTCTCTCGCAAGCTCCCTTCGCCTCGGCTCGGTAGAAAGGAACTTCCGCTTGAATTGCGCCCTTGTTGCGCGAGAAACAGAGAGAGAAAGAGAGAGAGCCGCACCTAGATATGAGATAAGTATATATCCCATAGCGTTCAAGTTTTTACGCCATTCAAACGGTTCCTTTTCGTCGCGCGGCTGTGAAGAGATCGATATTATTTAAATTCTGTAAAGTAATTTTTATCTCGAATGCAAAAGCAGCAATAAAACGAAGCAATAGCATTGCATTAATTGCCGAGAACAAAGATTGGTTATATTATATTACACAAGGATAATTTGATTTATTACATCTCTTTGCCTCTTGACTTTATATATTTTTCCTATTTTGATGATTCATCGAAAGTTATTGAATAAAATTTACCGTACATTCAATATGCATACATGCATAGCAAAAAAGGGACAATTTTTTATTACAAATTACCGCTGAATATTTTACATGAAATGAAACAATCGCATTTAGCAAATGACGATATCTTATCGCTAGCCTACTTTAGAACTATAGTGCCGAGGTCTAATGGCATTAGCTTTCACTTTTGTTAATATCTTGGATCGACGTTTTTTTAGTAATGTCAAATGGACTTGAGATATTGATTTTTTTTTACTTTAATGCAATTGTACAAATAGGTAAATGGATAATTCTCGTAAACTTTATATAATTCATTTTTCCCAATCAGATATAGATTTTTTGGCGATAATTTGATTATCGAATTGCATTATTGATGAATGTTTCAGTGCAAAAAGTCTCTTCTCATACATTTTCATAATTATCAGTCTACCGAGAATTATTTTCTCGAGCCATATTTAGCACGTTAAGAGAAAAGGGGGGAATTATAGTCGGATAATTTGTAAAATAGAAATCGTGTTTTTTTCTTGTTTTTTTTAGTGAAACACGAAAACAAATATCGCGAGATATCCAATCCGCCATTCCGCAGACGTAATCTTTTCAAAGATTGATAGCGGCGACGTGTACGCGCGCGACGTGTCTTATGGAGACCAGACGATTTAACGAGGCTTTCGCGCAAAAAGCTCGCTCATCGAATCGTAATGTCGGATAATGTGACGAAAATGAATTATCGGTCCGACGAGCACGAAGGAAATATTTACTTCCGCGAGAAACGCGCGCGCTCTCCGCGTAAAAAAGGCCGAGTAAAACCGAATCGAATTTAATTTGATCTATCTCGTCGGTTCGAGGAGAGACATTTAGAATTGTTAATTAGATGATGGTTATGCGAGGAAAAGAGAGAGAGAGAGAATTAATCCGAAAAATTAAAAAAAAAATCGATTAAACGCACAATTGATTGTGAACACGACTATAAAAATCTATTATAAATTCATTATAAATTCAATTTATTCACACAATTCAACTATGTACGATGAGTTGGCTCATTTTTTTAAAAACGTTTTTTTGCATAACATCATCAGATTATACTTTGACAAACGACGCATATATATTTTCTTAGACTTTGTAATTGGAGAATTTTTCAAGAAATATACATAAGACTGCGTAGGAAATTTTTATTATAGATAGAAATGTACATATATTTATATTTATATTAAAAAACGTTAATTGCAGACTATAGAATTCCATTTGGAAAGAATTTTACATATGCGTTGAATTTAATTAAATTTTTGCCGCGATTAAAACATTGAGAAATAACATTTTATTTCGTATAAATATTTTATTGTTAATAACCATTATTTTTAGCTTACGAGCGTTTCTGTTATCTGTAATACATTGTTTTTAATAATACAATATGGTACGTAAGCTATTTTATAATTTTTTCGTTCAAATAAAGCGCATTGTGATTAAAATACATTTTATTCTTCACTTAAAAATAATTATGTTTTTAAAATATTCATCTCCTTCTCATCCATTTGTCATCATTCTCTCGTTTCTCTTTCTCTTTTAATTTCGTAAAAATTACTTATAAATTACGTATAAATTACTCCCTCGCCTTTTATCGAAATCGGAAGACTTCCGAGATTAATGGAGGAAGTCTTTTGGAGCTTCTAGATTCTCTCCACTCCTACGTCGAACCCTTTCACATTTCTAGCTCAATTCTAAATTCTATCTACTAAGAGCACATCTAAATTAAAAGGCTACGTTATACCTTCATTTTACTCGACGGTATCTCCGAATCGAACTTTTCGATGCGCGATATTTCTAATCTCTGTCGGACATTGCGCAGAAATCGACCTAATCGATACCTCGAGCAGCGGCAGGAAGAGAGTGCTTCGCCGCACCATGGGAGACACAAAGTGTTTTCGTGAATATTTCTTTAAACGAAATACCCAGGACAATGGCGAGAATTGAGGGGAAACAATCGAGTAAACATTAAGATAATTTTAAACCGCGGAGTTTTTTCATTTCGCGAAAAATAAGCGGAAATAAATATCAACATGTCCGAATCGAAATTTTTCTCCAACTTTTCATCTCAATTTTCAATTTAACATCAAATATTTTAAGCAGTTAGACTACTTGTTTTTCTGATCTGTTTAACTTGTAATTTTGCCGAAAGCTCTTCTTTTAAAATCTTGAATAAGTGGTAAATTTTTACCATTTATTGCCTATTTAAGGTACAAAGTACGTAGTTAAATTTCTTATAAAAATTAAAGTCGAAATTCCCAACGATCCACAAATGTGAGAAAATTGAGGGTAAAAATAAAAGCAAAATTTCAACTCGGATGTCTGTCAAATTTGCAAAATTGCGCGTCGCGCGAATACCGGCCGCTATTACAATTAAATTACCCGTGACGATCGCAACGTATCTCTCTAACTGTTGAAAAATTGATGTTGAATCTTTGACGACTTGTCCGTGTTAATGTATAAAACGTTTCGCGGCTAATTACTTAACCTTGTACTTTATTCGCTCCCTGTTATTCCACACGACATCGCGTTCTGTCTCTGAAATTATTCAACGAACTTGCCCGAAGGTTTTGCATAAATACTTTTCTCCCTAATTTATCGCGACGCTCGAGTACGAGCGTAAAATCAGGCATCAGGTATAAAGTAATTTTGCGCAGCGTAAAATTTGCGCCGCGGGAAGCATCGGATGCTGCCGCGAATATTAGAATTTGCGAGATCGCAAATCGACGCGAAGTAGCCGAAAAGCAAACAGGCGAGAGGAATATCAGTGAGCTAAAGTCGAGCAGACACGGGACGTAGCGTGCCACAGAAACGACATAGATACCGGCCGTTTGGTTACCACTCAGCCGACATCGCGGGTAGCATCACGGCAGCGAGACGGATTAACAAAGAGAAAGAGAAAGAGAGGAAGATGGAAGAGCGAGGCCCATATAGGAACCTGAGGACCGATAAAGCGCCGGAGAGAAAAGAGAGAGAGAGAAAGACAATGAAAAATACGTCGGCGAAGACGAACGGTGGAACGCGACGACGTATCGGTAGCAAAGGAGAGAGGAAGAAGGAGTGATTCGAGACAAAGGAACGACGAAGGGCGACCGGAGGTACCCGGAGAAGGGTGATAGCGGAGAGAGAGGAGGAAGGAAAGCGCAGGAGAGATGCGAAGAGAGGAAGAGAAAGAGAACGCACGGGCTTCGCGGTAGGAGGAGAGCGTAGAAGTGGAAGGATACGCGAAGTCGCGGAGGAGAGGAGAGACCGAGAGAGACGGAGGATAGGCACACGCGAATCGATTAGATGCGCGCGCGGTCGGCCATTTTGTTGCCGGCTCGCCGGGGGTTGCGGGGGCGTGGATGCTGGACGGCGTCGACTCCGATCGCGACGACGAATCCGATCGCGCTCGCGCGTCGCTCTCTCGCGTTCGATAGGACGCGCGCGCGACGTGGACGCCCGAAGATGGAAGGGAGATTGGGGCTCGAGTCGGGGCGAGCGAGAGAGGGGATGATTGTCAGGAAGCGGGAAGGGAGAAAGCGGTGGCGGCGGCGTAGACACAGGCGAGAGCGAGCGAGAAGGGACGGTGGAAGGGGAGAGTCGGACGGTCTCTACGGTTAGGTTGGGTCGGGCTTCTCGAGCAGACTATAGCGAGACACCTAACTGGCAGTCAGTGGCTCCCGGGGCCCTGCGTCGTCAGTCTCGTCGGGGTAGTTTCGTGCAACCTCTTCGTGGGTCTCTCCTCCTCCTCCTCTCTCTCTTTCTCTCTCTCTCTCTCTCTCTCTCCCTGTCTTTCTCTCTTTTTCTCTCTCTCTCTCTCCGACTCTCTCCCTTCCTCCCGGTGCCTTCCCCTTTCTTTCTCTCTTTCCGTAAACCGACCTCTCTCCCCTCGGCCCTGACTTCCTCTCTTCCGCGATCTTTCCACCTTTCTCGTCCGTTTTCTACCGGAATAGTTGTTTCTTTTGCTTGCCCTTGGCGCTATCTGTTGACGTGCGAAACATTCGTGTCTCGTGGATCTCGACAGTGAATTCTCTTTGCCTCTAGTGAGTGATAGGAACGTAATCGCGGTTCAGTGTCGCGATTTCGGACTCGTGCGAATGGACCGGTTGACGAATTTCGGAGCCAGCCGTTTTGACGAGAGCGAAAGGAATCAGCCGCCAAGCATCAGGAATATCGTCAAAGTTCTGCGTGGCACGTTGATCGTATATCGTATCGATCACGTTCTCGTCTGGCAATCGCGAGAAACCGCTCGCTAAAACTTGCGAGATAAGCCGGGTGTGGTATCGCGAAAGAGAGAAAGAGAGAGAAAGAGAGAGAGGAAAGCCGCGTGATAATTCGAGAAGACAGAGTGCGGAGGATTCACTCGACAATATCCAGGAAAGAATCACGGGAGTGTCGGAGTGTGAATCGAGAGTGAACGATTATCAGTGGCGAAAGTGCCAGAGAGTTGAACCGGGTTGGAGATCCGTCAGAAGCCGCAAACCCTGGAACGTTTCATTTTGTGCCCGGCATTCGTTAAAACTTGTATAAAATCCACCTTCAACGAGCTAACAATGTGAATCCCGCGATATTTATTAGGTATCGATACGCCTTAAATCTAAATAATTTCCCCAAAGAGTTTTCCATTCGCGTGAGACTTCAACTTTTGAGATCAACCAAGACAAACCTCTATTGTTTACGTATTTCCCGCATCCGAAGCGACTTGATCCTCGGTGGATTCTGTAGCGTTTCGAAAAGAGGGATACGAGGGGGCGGAAAGGGGGTGAACGCCGTCAAAGTTTCGCGAATTTAAAGGGTATTTAAAGGGTACGGCCGGCACGAAAGGCTTCAAGATTGCTCGAAAACCGTCGCGCGACGTGCGCAGGAGTGGCAGAGCTGCGGAAATAGGGGGTGCCGGCGTAATGCAGCGGGTGGGCGCAGCCGGGGGGCCCGGGCCCATCGGCTTCCAGGGCCCTCCGAGATCACTGAAAATCTCACCGGTCAACATACAGGACGAGCCCACCGATCCCACGCAGAGTAAGTACCTCGATTTCCCTTCTCTTTTACGGATATCCGCGCGATCGATGAAGAAAACCTCGCAACGATCCGAAGAAATCACTTTTTCACGGTGCAGGGTTTTTAGCTTGTAACCCTATCTGTGTATGTGTATGTGTATGAATATTTATATACACATAAATATTTTATGAATAAACACGCACATGTGTTTCCATCGCCACGTTATTTATAATTCTAATAAAAAGAATGATATATAAAATATATTTTCAGAATAAGACTCAAATAGATTTATATTTCACGATATAATTTTCACTCAAATTATCCAGGTATAAAAACTAGAATTTGATTGTGAAGTATATTTTATTCTTCATCGACCGTTCAATTTACGAAATTTTCTCTCTCTCATACATGCGATATATTGCGATAAAAATCTTTTTTTCCCGCTCACTAGAGGTATTTCTGATAGAATATATAATTGAGTCATTATTTTTCAAACAAAGACTTTATCTATTAAAAATAAGAGTAGCTGAAATAAAAAAGATTTTTCCCGCTGTCACTTATATTTTTATCCCTTCATCACAATTTTAGTTGATTCTACATATTGCGGCTAATTTTTGATCCATCAAAACCAATTTTTTATTTAAAGACGAACTATGATTTTCCATTAATTAACGGTGATTTGCGATTCATTACATCGTCGCTGATTAAATCATTGCTTAAAAATCCGTCCGCCCGATAATGAATTTCATTGCCACTTCATTACTCGCACGTCGCGTAATTAGATTGTTTAAATAATTATCTTCTCGTATTCGCTACTACACTTTGCCGCAGAGTGAAATCAAAGGACAGGTACATTAAGTAATATATGATGCATCTGTAAATCTATATCGACGCATTACTGTCAATAAAAATCGAATTCGAATTATTTTTCCGTGTAAACTCTATAATATTGTATTCTGGCTTATGGCGTTGAAATAATTAATAGAATTAACGGTGAAGAGAAATCAATCTCGATCAACTTTAAATTGTGCTTACATTGAGAAAAATAAAAGCCAAATGTTTTCACAATTTTCTATTCTAGCCAAAATAAATTGATCATCGTTTATACTCCAGTTTTTATTTTTTCAAATCTTTTGATGTCTCTAAATGTTTAGATGTATGTATTGTATATAATTATCATAGGAATGTGCGAATAAATTTTGAGTTTCAATAATAACAAGCAACATCTTTATAATTATCTGTTAAATTGCAAATCTTATAATCGCAGGAATAAAAGAGCTGTTGATAGTAAAAAAGAAAAAACTATTATCATAAAATTTGTGTATAAGAGGAATTTTATATCCGAAGGAAGATTAAATATCAAGTGTATCTTAAGATAAAACTCAAATAAATCATAAAATTATATTATTTTATGATATTATTCACTTTGTAATTACTCAGATATCGTATGCTAGGTGTCTAATCGTCGGAAGTGAAGAAAATCTTGTCGTATGTATTTAAATTCGTTGCAACGATATCGCGGATATTTCTTCAAATAATTTAGAATTAATTAAACGAATTTATAAACTTTGAAACGCTATCTTTTTATTGCGGAAAATGTGTTATTTCGTAATAATATGTATGTAATGTAATAATATTGATCATAAATCAGCGAAACAGAGCGGCAGCGAAACTTGTAACATGTTTATAGAAAAAAATACGCGATCGATGCATAAATTACTTTCATGTTCTCTAAGAAATCAATTACAGAAATGTTGTAACAAAAAACTAACCTAAATAATTTCTGGCATTATGTCAGTATTTCTTGATCGTATCGTTGATTCGACGAAACTTTTATCAACATATATCACATTAAACATTAATATATCACGTTAAAATCGCGTGCACAGAAAATGATAATGTTAATCTGGGATGCAAATTGCCATGACATTTTGTTGCAGTAAAAGCAACAGACTTTTTATTTCAATTGCCATTTCTAATACAGAAATGCTATAGTTATATCTAAAGTCCAATAGTTCTATTTTCTCTCCTCAATATTAATGAACATTATACCCAAATATCCTAAGCTATTAAGAAATCAATTTTGTTCTTTATAAGTTTTTTAATTTTAATATCAGAGCACTAATCATATAGTTTAATTTATTTGTATAAAAATCATTCGAAAAAAATACATATATTTCTTTACAAGGTTTACATAAAAAAATGGCAGCACAATTCTAACTTTATCAATATATTATTTCGTAATTATCTCTTACTGGACGTAAAATTATATATGTATTACATTATAATCTTTGGACGCGTCTCTGTTCTGGCTACATTGCGGTATTTTGCGCTCGATGCAAAAGTCGACAAGCCTCCTCGACGGTCGACGCTCGCGAACTCATTTATTATTAATTCGAGTTATCGCATTTTCATAATCGGATACATGGAATATTCAACGATGCGAAACGATTCGCCGATGATTTTCTGTAATTAAATGTTACAGTATTGCGTTTAACACGTGTTTTTCGCGCGCGCGCGAGCGAGCCGATGAGATCGTAATTATCATGGGGCGACATTAATATCTACTGTATTTATCATTCGTAATTATTGCGACGCTATATTATTCGCGAGTAAGAATGACGAATGCGCGTACATTTGCATTGTTTAGCGCGTGCATCATGATGGGATCGCGGTCTTTAATTTACACTCGCGATTAATTTGATAATGTTCGATGAGACGAATGAATAATTAAATTACCGGTTGCCGTATATGAGAACAAAGAATAATTAAATTCATGGAATTGCAAGATCGCGGTAATGTGAGTCTGCGATTTAATCTCAATGCGAGTGATTTTGTAGCGGAAAAAAGGGAAGAGGGGGGAAAGGTGTAGATGTGAAATGATTGGCTTTTACATTCTTAATGTTGCGAATATACCCTTTCGACATAAATTATTAATTCAAATGTCTTAAATGTTTGACGAAGTCACAATTAAATAATAATCTTCCGCGAAATTTAATCTAAAATTTATCTTATTAGATATTACACTCTAATTATATGATGTGATTATAATCGGACTTTAAAATTGTGTAAAGAATAGCCGATCTTTTGTGTTGAATAAGCTTAATTGGAATTAATAATCGGGTAAGAATATTCAAAATTTTAATAACTATTTAAAGTATCTTGAAATATAATTTTTAGGCGGAATTTTAAGAATTCAATTATTTCCACTGTTGAGATTATGATCCAAATGTGATCCAAAATTAATCAAAAATAAATTTAGTCAATTTGATTCATGTACTTTTCATGTTTTAATAGTGATTACTTGCAATAATCAAAATATGAAAGATAAAATTATTCCATCTTTTTTAAAAAATTGGAATTATTTTTTTGCTACATTTGAGTAACTATGTTATTTATCAAAATAACAATATAATTTTCTTTCAGAAAAGAAGAAAATTACATAAAAATGCATATATGTATATTATTATATATTAATATCAATATTTAATTAAAAAAGATGTATATTTATTAACTTTTACAATTGATTAATTTTTTATTTAATATTTTTTTATTTTCAATATTTAATATTACATATTTATTTTTATTTAATTATAAATTGCACGTTAATTATAAATTGCACGAGATTTAAAATACCTTATCAAGAAAATTAGAAACTATCATCCTTCTTCAATTTTTCCAAGAGTTTAAATTCGTCGAAATATTCGAGTCATTAAAATTCGATGCGGTGGAAACAGAATATTCCGTATCAGAAAGTATTAACAATCCGTATCCTTGCATCATTACAATTTTCTTGATATAAAAGCACGTAATATTGTATAATCGCGTCGACTACTTTTTCAACTTTTCCAATTAGCGTGCGACTTCGTCGAGAATCACGTTGCAACTTTGTTCGCTGTTTACGATCGTCGTATCGATATGTATATACAATTTCAAAGGGAGGAGGAAAAAAAGAAGAAGCGTTCCGCTCGCGTCCCGCAAAATGCGGTTTTTAATTAACGGCTCATGCATTTGCATGATTAGACCCTGAAACGTTAGAATTATTCGCGATATCAGCATTCCGTGCCTCGAAAACGACCGCGACATTAACGCTGGGATTCTTCGGTGAGCTTGACGTATACGACTCTGTCCCGATGACGTCGACACATTAAATATATTTAATTGTTCATTTTTTTCCTCCGTATTTTTTCTATGGCCATGCGCCTGCACGTGTTCACCTATGCACGCGCGGTAATTAGAGCAAATACGGGTAATTAGCGACATGCCACGACGCTTTGTTTAATTGGCAACTTTTCGTTGACATACGCGTCATGAAACGATATAAAGTTCATTAGTATAACTGGTCGCAAAAATATATAAAAGTGCTGTTGTGTGATTTAAAATCTATTAATACATCGTGTCATTAAAAGTTAATTTCAAGTTTCAAAGATGTAAAGATCGAAAAATTTTTATTTAAGACATTAAGATAATTGAAAAGCATAATAAACAGTTTCGAAAATAGATTTTTTCAAAAAATATATTTTTGATATTTTTGAGAAAATGATAAATTTTTTTTTAGGGCGCGAAAAAAATTTTATGTTTAATAAAACGAATGAAAAATATAATGAATCATCGTAATAAGATTTTCAGACGAATATTGATTCGATTTAAGGAGAGACAGATGTAAGAATTAATTCCTAATAAATTTAATCCAATATTTTGAGAAATTTAAATAAAATTGATCGAACATTGGTCTCTCGAAACGACTTTCGATGTCCGTCGAACAAGCTAGCTGCTAGTTGTTGTCAATCGTAAAATAAGGATCCGTGCCAAGTTTTTCGCTAATCCTGATTGTTTGCTCCGACGCTCGTAGCAACGAACGATTTATTTCGTCCGCGTGAGAGGAGAGACGACGCGTGTGCGCGCAAGAAGCGGGGAACGACCGGGCTTCGGTGGAAATCATCAGCCGATTAGAGTGCAGATGTTCTCGTACGGAGATTACGAGCCGTCTCCACCCTCCGCGCGGTGCCATCATACGCACC